AACCAATTATAGTAAATTCTAAAAAGATTCGGTAATCTGGAAATGTTCAATAAGCTTGTTGATTATTATTTAATCAGTTCAGAAGATCGACCATCAATTGGTTGTAATTATTAGTGAATCAAATTCTCTAGAAAGAATAGTAATTTTTATAGTGAGAGAGCAAGTAATAATTTTATATAGGGGGTGCGCATTATTTAGGAACACGCATGGGCGTTATTTTGAAACCATGTATATGATTTTAAGGGGCATGATTTTCTAATTAACGCCTATGAGCATTATTACGCGAAAATACGGTACCAATTTACATACCACTTTTTATTTAAAATATGACACCTAAGTTAGGGCTTGAGGTTAGCATTAGTAAATAACCTTGCACTAAAATTTTGCAAAGAATTTTTTTTATTAGTGTTCAAAAAGTGATTTCTTAGATGAAATTTTAAAATAAATGTGACTTTTCGAAAAAAAACAATTATTGTTTTGATCTTTATGTTATACCTGATCTTGCATTCTAATTAGCCAAATCAGAAACTTGAAAAAATTAGTAAATGTATTTTGTACAGCATTTACTAATTCGCCGCCAAAAAGTTTAGGTTAGGATCAGATTTTGCTATTAGATTGTATCTAAAGACATTTTTTATAAAAAAATTTTACAAGGAAAACTTTTAATTAATGCACAGAAGGCAGTTTCATAAGCAATTTTTGACTAAGGTAGTGATTTTATCCCATTGAAAAATTCACACAACATTACACAAATATACAACAATTTTTTTAAAATATATAAGATCTATCACTATATATATATATAAAAAAATGTTTTCTTTCTTTATTACTGAATCTCAAAGGAAAATCTACACTTCACCAAGGTATTGGTATTTGGATCCTGTTTATCAAACAAATGTAAACCTATTTATTCGAGAAATAAACAAAGTGTTAAGAGAATTTAGTTTGCAGAAGGTTTGTTTAACATTTTTGTGCCAAGTTCTTTATTAATTATATAAAGATTTAATGAACTTCTCTTGTTTATATATAGGTTTCAGAACTGTCTAGAGCTTTTTTTATTCAAAATTATCTAATTAAAAAGGTTGAAATAATTGCATAAATAACCAGTATAGAAATTACAAGTCATAAAATTATTAAATATACACGTATATAAGATAGGCTTATGAATATTACTGTATGTTTTATTTATATATATTTGCGTTGCTTATAAGAAATTATTATTTAAGTTGATGATGCGTCAGGTCTGATCAAGTGTGTAAATTTTGGAGAAGGTGGAGATGATGATAATCAGTACTTAAGTGATTCAAGATTCAATCTTGGAATACTTGTTAAGGTTATTGAAAGAATAAATGAGTATCATAGAAAAAGGAAAATTATTTTTAACACAGAGGAAATATGTAATTATAATTTTTTTTTTTATATCAAGTTTGATTTATTTATCTTTTTTATGTTTTTAGATGTTATAAAAAACCCTAACGTAGAGTTACTTTGATGTTATGAAATTATAAAACTAATAGAAGATATTATTGTAAACTATTTGTTTTATTTAAAAAAACAAATAAAAAGATATTTTAGAAAATATGTTTTTTTTTAACACATGTATATTTATTTACCTATAAATGAATATTCAAATAGGTGACACCACTTATAATACTGACATTAGAAAGATTAGATGAAATAATGCGGAATTGATTGATGATAAAAATTCGAATAAAAATATGTCAACATTAAACTCTTGAATTTTTGAACGAATGAACATTTTGGAAGATCTATTGCAATAACAGAAGATATATTTATTAACTCAATTATGTGATATATTTACAAATATTATTTAATTAAATTTAGTATAGTAAGAATAGTACAGTCATCTAAATTAGTTGATTTTGCTAAGAAAGTTATTCATATAAGTATACTATTATAAATAATGTATATTTATTGTATATATTTTACATTTAAATAAATATTTGTTTTAACATTTGATATTTTTAATATCAAGATTTTACATCTAATATTCAACCAGTAACTATATTATTTACTAATACTTTGTAAGTGTTGGTGTGTGAAAGATTTTTGAATCATTCAGATGAAATATCTTATTATGTTAATCTGTGATTTGTAAATATGGTAAAAGAATGGATAAATGTATGAATTAAAATATATATAAAGATTAATTTGTGATTGAAAACTCATTTCATTAATCACTTACAAAAAATTTAACTAAAAATTTATCAGTATAAAATCCTTAATAACACAATATTTTATTAAGATACACTCTACCCTCGTTATAACAGACCTGTCAGGCTGGAGAATTCTATCCATTATAATAAAAATCTACTATCACATTATAACGGATTTACTAATATGTATAAGGATAATCCGCTATAGTATAATGGCGGTCTTACTAGCAAGACTATGTATGTTCTGATACAACAGGTTTATAATATTTAAGTTGGAATATAAATTGCACATTTAGTATAGTTTGATCCCAATTATAAATATTTAGTTACTAGATCTGACCCCTATACTGTATAACAAACTGAGAAAATGTAATTTGAAATCAGAAACAATTTTGCATGTAAAATAAAATATGATCGTGACTCAGAAATTATAATAATGCAAAGACCATTTGATTAGTTATAATTAATAGTATTTATTGATGATTATTTTACCAGGTTGCAAGTAATTTGAAAAGTCAGCTAGAGAGTTATATATAGTAGTATATAAATAGAGTAAGTGCTATTAGTATATATAAAAAATGATTGTGGATCTGATGCAAAGAGCGCAAAGACCACTTGATCAATATTTAGTTGCAAAGTAAAAAAAAAAAAAAAGAGAACGAAATAAAGTTATCAGCTAAGTTTATTTAAGGTATTAATGCTTTTCTATTGCTATTGATAAGAGACTAACTCTATTTTTTGGTAGTTACGACCCAGTGAAAGAGAAAGACAATAATATTTTAAAGCTCAAGTGAATGAAAATTAGTTTAGTTTATATTAAGGACTGAATAAATGTTATAGCTTATGCATGATATAAATATATTAGTATACTATATATATACTAACAAGCTTTATTCTTATATATATTTTCTATACAACAATATAAACCCGATTATATATCTTAAACAAAGTAAAAAAAAAGCGTAAAGTATTTACCAATCAATAATTTTCTAAAGTAACTTATTAAATAATTCATATTGTATGTATGAATAAAACTGTTAGAAATATATAAAATTCAAAGCTCGCATAAGTATAAAAATAATAGCAATTATTAATAAAAATATATCAATTTGATACAGATTATAGCAAAAATATATAAAATACCTAAATTCTAATTGCAACACAAATACATCATATTTAATTAGCTTGTTTGAATATAAAGTATTTGTTTTAATTACCTCTTTAATTACCTCTTTAACTAAAACACATATTAGTAATTGAAAAATAAAAAAACTTTAATAAAATTGTAACATATAAAAAAAATTTTTGAAATTCGTATAACCTTAATTTAAAAAAAAAAACTTAAAAGATTCTTCTTTTAAGAAAAAAAAAAAAAAAATTTAAGCATGATTGAAAAAATATTCTAGTAATACTTGACGTCTAGCAGTAAACTCCTTGCGTCTAATAATATCACTCACATACCTAATCACTTCCAAATCTTCTACAGATACACCAAAATCATCATCTTGTTATAAAAGAAATTTAACTAAATTTTTAGCAAAATTACTTCCTTCTTGTAAAGAAAAAACTTGCGATAGTTCACTTGAATAGTTATTATCATCAGTATCAAATTGAACTTCCTCATTATTATCTTCATTATGAATTTGCTCAATTAATACTGTATCATCTGGAAAATCTTCAATTGGCAAAACATCATTAAGATGTAAGTACTCATCAGCACTAAGTAAATCAGTTAATGGAAGATTAGAAATCAATTCATTTATATCTTGTATTTGATTATCCTCTTTAAAATTATCAAATTCCAATATATCGTTATTATTATTTGCAGTAGCAGGAAGTATACCAGTTCGTTTCCAACAATTAACGATTGTACCTGGTGTTACACTATTCCATGCATCAGCTGTTAGATTAATTGCATCAAGAATAGAAAATTCAGGAATTGTTAAGTTTGTATCTTGTTGATTATAAATTAAATCATATGTGTCAACCCTATTTTTAATAAAACCTTTTTTGTAAAAACATTTAAATGAACGGATAATTCCTTGATCACATGGTTGTAAATGAGCAGTTGAATGAGGAAGTATAAATTCAATATGAATATTGTTAAGTTT